CAGCTCTGGTATAAAATCGCTGCTTCGATTATGTCCCATGAAAGCTCTGACCAACTGGGTGCCGGCGCTTCAACGAGCCAGGCTCGAGGTGAGTAAAGGATGTTTCCTCTTACTCTGTGCTTTAAATCGTCCTCCTGTCTGCTGCCATTTATCAAAGGTAACCAGAGTGAAGCGGCAACAGAGGAAGTCCCGTGTGCTCCGGTTGATCTTTTCCAATTTTTTCAGAGAAATCAAAGAGTGCAAACAAACTAGAAGAAAACAACAAAGCACGCCGACAGAGAGGAGGAAAAAAAAAAAAAAAAAAACACCCCCAAACAACAATAATAAACAATCCTAGTGGTATAGACTTGAGGAAAACAGCGGAACATTTTCACCCCAAGGATGGATTTTACACACCTTCCTGCTCCAAACCTTCCAGCACTTAAATGTTTGGTTTAAGGCTGTTCACGAGTCCCGATGGGACCCCCAAAGCCAAATTATCGCTCTCTCACTTCAACATTGCAAACCACGTTCCAGAAAAAAAAAAAAAAAAAAATCCACTCGTTATTTACCTTCATAAAATATACTCGTCTATTCAACCATCCCACTTCCCCATTTTCACCACTTTCCAACAAAATCCTCACTGACCCAAAACCCAAAGTTAAAAATCCAAACCACTGCATGTCTATTCAAGCAGCACCGAACAAAAACAAACAAACGAACAAAAACGTTAAGCATCAGTCTTCAAAAATTTAATGCTGCGCAGATGCTTCAACATGACCGACAAGACAAAAAAGCTTCAGTGATTGTGTCAATGGAGATGATGCAGCAGGGTGTTCGTCAACTTCCCTCCTGGAAAACTGAACTGTGTGTGTCATTCCCCAACTTCCTCCCCAAAAAACAAAACAAAGTTAGTCCCTTTTTTCACTTTAGGTAGGATTAATCACATGAATTTGCTTGCGAGAGTCTGAGAAAACAACAACAGTGCAATTAAACGTCTGCAGATGTAAATCAAGTATTTCTACTTACAGTATCAGAGGAGTTGTAGTAACAGATTCCAGGTTTTGATATCTAGCACCATAAGTAGGAGAAAGAACTACAAACATGCCACCGTTTGAAAGGAGGTTTGAACAGTTTGAACAGGAAACTTCCCACTGGATCAAATCGCCACACTGAACTCTGGACTCGTCCCATTTTATGGCAGGAAACTCACACACATCTCAGCCTCCTGATGAGTCACTGTGTCTCAGCAGATTTCCAGAAAATTAAACAAAAACCAAAAAACCCTCCGTTCGGCGCCTGTAAACAGACGTGTTTACTGAGCTGATAGCTGGTAGCTAGTGTTAATTTCCTCCTTCCTGCTTGCCAGCGTTCCCTCGCCTCCAGAATAAACAAAACCCTTTCAGATGGGAAGAAGCGGCTTCCTCGTCACCGCTCGATTTTTAAGTTTGTCAGCCTAAAACCTGCCCTGCATCTTCCTTCCTTCCACAATAATGATCAACAGTTTGACAGGAAATGAAAAGCGGGGAGAGAATTTAGCTTCCTGACTAGTTAAATGTCTGCAGACTCATATGCAGTGTGAGCAACACCTCACCTACTTTCACTGTTACAACAAGATGCCTCATTTTAGAGAAAAGTCATGTGCCCTTCCTGTGTGATACTAAAAAAAACAAAAAACAAAACAGCGCTGACCCCACGTTAAGCCACAGACGCACACTATGGTGAGTTAGCATGTTAGCAAAACAGAGAGGGAATAACAGCAGGAGGGGTGATCCTTTAAGAACAGGATCAGAGGGAGAAGACGCCGAGGGGAGGATGACCAATTACTGTACCAACAGCCAACTACAGTTTGCAAAAAACCCCAAAAAGACATAAAAGCCACCTAGTGTAAACAAACCTGCAAAAAATTCTATGTAAACCAAAGGATCCAAGTCTTCTTGTGATGTTGAGTTGCATATGGATGTGAATATGTATTTAAAAACAAAAGGACTAATAATGACCCATAATTAAGCCACTTAAAGTTGCACAATGCTGCCACTCAACATGCAAACAAACCCCTCATTATGACAGCCAAACAAGATGGAGTCTGTTTTATGCACCCTTTCCCATCATCCTTTGGGGTGGCTTCCAACAATGCCCTGCTGCTTCCCACACATGCGCGCGCGCGCGCACACACACACACACACACACACACACACACACACACACACACACACGCGCAGACACACACACGCGCAGACACACACACGCGCGGCTAATTTAATCCCACAAGGCCGTTTGGACAGAATGAACAAATTTCAGTGTTGTCTGTGCCACCTGACAGGCTGACACCACTACGTAATGCAAAAAGAGAAAAGGAGAAATAAAAGTGAAAAACCAAAAACAATAAATAGAATATAAAGAAAAAGAAACGGTGCTCTACATGCACAGTAAAGTGCTTTTTGTCTGCAAGCCCTGATCCAGAAAAGAAGGCGTCCTCTATGCTTGTTTGTGACGGGTGATTCTGGGATATAAGTATCGAGTAGCCCTGACTTGTATTTCCTTTATTTTTTTAAACGCATCTGTGGAGCATAGTAGTGGGGTTGGAGGACTTGGGGAGGGAAAGGAGGTCACCCTACTGCGGGGATTTGGGTGGGGTGTGGTGGGAATCTTTGTTGGGGGTTTTCCCTGGGTGTGGGGGCGGAGAGGCCCACCGCCCACCCGGCCTTCGGACCTCCTTCGGGGGTCTGCCTGTGGTGGCACCCGTTGAACTGGGTTTGGAGGAGGGGTGGTAAGTCTCTCTGGCCTTGGCCTCCCCTGAAGGCGTGGAGGCGTCGGGGCACTTCCTCTCCTCGCCTGCTGTGGCGGCGCAGGCTGGCTTAGCTTCCTTAGGGGTGGTTGGTTGCTGTAACGTCGGGGTATCCTTCACCCGCTGGCAGATCTCGGCGTAGGAGGGCTTCCTCTGCTCCTAGCAGGAAAACACAAGACAGTTGTAAAACATTCTGCACACATCCTTACAAAGCTCGTCTGCGGGCAGTTTGTGAACGAGTGGTTTTCATTTCCACCTTGAACAGGACAGAATCAGAGTTAGATCCCCGTATGGGTCCGTTAGCGTCAGTAACGAACTTCCTCACATGCATCTCACATACAATGCCTGGAAAGGTTCAGGCCTGTAGCACACGTGTCTCCAGAAGGAGAGCCCCAACAACAAATTGGTCCAAGCATCACACAAATAGAGAGGTAAGCTGAATTAAGTGACAGAATCTTCAGGTCTTTGCTTATATTTGTGCCATTTAGTCCAATGTTGTTGAAAAGGATGACCTTTAAGTCATAGAAAGAAAGTCAGTCTGTCCATCAGATGCATGTCCTCTATAATCTCTAGCACTTGCTCTACTTGGAGAGGATCCTTCTTAAGCCAATTCCTTGTTATGGCCTTTTTAGATGATGAAGATCCTGGGGTCCTTAGGGATGGCATAGGACATGATGTCATCTGTTAACTTGGATATACTGCCCCAAAATGAAGTCAATTGTGTACACGTCCAAAAGATATGAGAGTGTCTCCAACATTTTTGCTGGTGCGCTTGAAATTTGTTAGTAATATGTGGAGTAATGAAGAATCTAAATAGTAGGGGTGCAACGATATTCGTATCGATATTGAACCGTTCGATACAGTGCTTTCGGTTCGGTACGCATATGTATCGAACAATACAACATTTGTAATTTATTTTATCAACTTTCCTTCTGACGATGCTGTCTGTGTTGAGTGCTCAGTGAATCTGCGTTCGACTACTCCGCCTAGGCTGCACTGTTGAGCGCAGATCCACTGAGCGCTCAACACAGACAGCATCGTCAGGAGGAAGAGCGCAGGGCAAGCTAGCGAGACAGAAGATAAGCTCTCCTTGCAAGATGGACCTCCCCCACCCTCATTCAGATCTGGCGTTTGGAATTATTTTGGTTTTCATGTGACGTATGACCCTGAAGGTAAGCGAGTCATGGACTAAAGTAAAACATTATGTTGGATGTGCCATGCAATGCTCAATTACATTGGTGTGAACTAGTGTGTTAGCGCAGTTAGCTCGTTAACGTGTTGGCCGTCTAGCCCCATGCACGGAGCGATCGGCGGTAGCTCGTTAACGGAGATTTGCCGTGTTGTGGCGTTAAGGTCATTTCAACGAGATTAACCTGAAAGCACTAGTGGGAACACAACGAATATGACTGCACATTTACGCCGACATCATCCTAGTGCAAAGACAAAAACAACAAGCATGCTACTAACTTTAGCCGAGTCATTTAGACAGCTGTTAGCACGTGATTCTCCTTATTAGGGCTGGGCCATATTATACCGTTCACGGTAATACCGGTATAATGTTAGGCAACGATAGGAAAATGAAATATCGCGATAGAATGGGAGTAAAACGCGCATGCGCAGTGCCTTTGTTTTCATACACACATGGCCGATTGTTGAGTGAAACAGATGAACCAGAATTGGTTTGTAAAAATGGTGCAACTTCAGTGATGTGGAACTGGTTTGGTGTTTGTCCGTCAGATACACAACAAAGCACATTTTTTTTGCAGAACATGCAAGCGGTCGTTGTTATTGTCATATTTGTCGGACTAAGATGCTCTTAAATCTGGGAGTAATCTGGGTCCTAAACTCCGTATTCTTCAGGTCAAACAACACTGCAGCATCACTTAGAGTTAAAAACTGTCTAAATTCTTTCATCTTTAATAAAACGATCAGCATTGCTGCTTTACCAGGTGTAACTATAAAGTTTAACTTCCAGGCATCCATGAAAACAAAAGTTATTACATTTAACGGAGTTAGAAGTTAGCAGGAAGCTAGCGGAAGTTAGCTCGCTAGTTTCGCTAGTTACCTAAGCATGATATAGCATGTTCTGACAGAGATTTCTGAAAAAAATCAAACGTACAGCTCTGCTATCACTTCCAACATAAATGAAGACAGGAAACTAAACAGCAGTGACGTTTGTAGGGTTACTGAAGTTGGGCTAGCTGGTATATAATGATGTGCTACGTGATCGCTAGCGACACAGCTATGTTAGCATAACATAAACAGTGAAGCTGGAGGACGAACACTAACACTTTTCCACTTATAAAAGTTAACGTGAAGGTTCTTCATGGTTAGAGACAAATGCAATCGCATGGCAGGATGCTGTAAACGGACCAAACTTCAGTCAGGAGAACAACTGAGATAATCCATCCACAATACGAGGTTAGTCATTAATATACTGCAACAACATGGGAATAGAGCAGCTGCCAGAGAATTCAACATTAATGAATCAATGGTACAGAAGTGGAGGAAGCAAGAAGAATGAGTTTAATAAAGTTTGATTTATCTGACTGCTTTGTTTCGCTTAATGTGCCTTATAATCCCGTGCACCTTATGGTCCGAAAAATACGTACTGCACACTGCAGTTTAATGTTGCAAAGCACCTCTTTTTGACTTCAGTGGATATTATACATGGTTATGCTCAGGATATGTCAGCCCATTTCTACTGGAAATGCCTTTTGGTTAAACTTTCAGCAAGCAATTTGCATTTGCACTGTTACATTTTTATAAAGCTTTAATGTACATAAAAACCAGCTTCTTGTTTAAGTGAAAATAAATGGAAGGTTGTCTTTTTGCGCTAGTAATGTTGTGGAGTTGTATTTTGTCTCGCATCAATTATATCGTCGGTTATATCGTTATCGCAAATTTTCAAATATATATCGTGATAAATATTTTTGGCCATATCGCCCTGCTCTACTCCTTATGCTGCTGAGAATATAGCCCAGAAGAAGCGGATAGTATAGCTTTTATTTTGGAAAGAGACATTTCTCTGTAATAAACTCTCTTTTCCAAAGATGAGTGATTCCTCAATCAGATACAGGGCTTGCAAAATCGCTAGCCCGACGTCCCGGAGCTAGCGATTTTTTCAGTCGGGCTACAAAAATCTCTCTGCCCTGCCCGTCGGGCTATTGTAGGAAAAATATATGTCAATGCTTTTGCATTCTTTCAGAAATGTAGCTGGGTAATTATGTCATTGGCATCGGTGAGCCACTGTCAATATGTGACATATTGAAATTGCGTTTGAATTTGCGCTTGTTTTTTTGCTTTCACTTTGCAATGACAGCACTGATCTGTGAGTGATGATAATTTGTGCACCAATTCCTCTGACATCGTCTTATTAATCGTTAGCTTACTATGCAAACATGACAAGTGAAATCTCCCGCAGCTTAAACATGTGAGAGGTTGATCGCGCAGAGAATCGCTGAGCTTATGTGAGTCCGTGTGTAAAAGTAGCAGTATATATATTTTAGTTCTGCTGAGCCAAATAAGACAGGTCGGGGTGAAGAAGTGACAGCCAAAGAAAAGCTTACCGCAAAACGGAGAAGTTATGACAAATGAGACTATAAGGCAAAAAGAAAGTGCAGCTTTATGGTTTCATGGACAAAATAATTTCTGTGGCTGCAATATGACGAGCTAAATAACCAGGGCTGCACATAAGTGGTCCGCAGGTGCGCATTCGCTGTCAAAATAAAAAACGCGCACAAGGGTTAGGGTTAAATTTAAAAACTGTACTTTTGAGTTAAAATATATATTTATAATTTTAATAAATGACAAATTAAAAAGGCATGAACATTTTTTTGTATCGAAAAAATATCGAACCGTGACACCAAAGTATCGAACCGAACCGAACCGTGAATTTTGTGTATCGTTGCACCCCTACTAAATAGAGTTTTCCGCACAAATTCCCTCCACCTTTTGGAACAAGTCGATGTTTGTTGTGTGGTGCACATATAGTGTGTTGTTACCATTTTGTTTTTCTAGCCCTTTTGTAGAGTTTAGACACAGTTTTGGTGGGCAGACATTTGTAAAGAGGAAGAACTCCCTTTTAACAGGAAGACATCTCCAGGGACAGGCTCAGAGAGAGAGCCATTAGCCACAAAGTGACAGAGAGAGCCGAAAGAGAGGACCCCAAACAGAAGGACAGACTGAAGTGAAGCATCAGGGATAGACTTTGTTCCCAATAACAGTTACAATTTGCCCACATTACAACAGCTCGAAGTCAGTAAAACTGTAAAGAAGCTTCTAAAAATACAACAGAACCAGGCAAACTGTGGGATTTAAGTTTCTGTACCTGCTCAGCTGATCTCTGTTTACTTACATTCATCAGCTGTGTTGGGATTTTATTTTTTTGCACAGATTCTGCCTCAATCTGCTCACAGCAGCTCACTGTTTGGTTTACACCAGCGTGACCATGAGTCCTTTGGTAGCAGGCAGCGAGAGTTGAAGCTCGGGTGTGAAATTCACGGTTTTCAGGGTTTTTAGCGTTATTTTTTTAATCTTTTTTATCGTTAACTCTGTTTTCCTGGGTCTTTTCCCGTGTGTTATGAATAAATCTTATTTTTTTTGGTACCGGTACTGGTTTTATCTTGTTGTATTTATCCACGACAAGGCCGGTCCATGAAAATATTGTCGGACATTAAACCGGTCCGTGGCGCAAAAAAGGTTGGGGGCCGCTGGTTTACACTACACAGCAGTCTCCTAAACGTGTGCAGAAACTTTAATGTCAGGACTGAAAAATTAAAATTGAAAATATTGAAAATCAAAGAATTTGGCTGATAATTCAATCCAAAGGCAAATTTTTATTAAGTGTATATAATTTATTAATAAACAACAAACATGAAAACAAGGAGATGAGAAAAAATGTATTTCACGCCGATGCAGGCACATGTCAATCAAACTTTTCCATGTATGAATATAACGCTGGGGACAGCCTGTAACTACAAACGTTCCCTTTTATACAGTTTGGGAAAACGCTGTAATAAACACGGCAACTGAGCTAAAAACATTCAGAATTTTGGCTCCTGAACATTTCAGAGATTAAGAGGTTCAACATGACAGCAGTGATATGATTGTTGAACCCACATTTGGCATGTTGATTGTATTTAATTTGCCAGATCCGTTTCTGTTCACTCCTATGCGCGCGCGCGTGTGTGTGTGTGTGTGTGTGTGTGTGTGTGTGTGTGTGTGTGTGTGTGTGTGTGTGTGTGTGTGTGTGGTCGTTGTTTTAGCAGCAGTACGTTTCAGACCTTGGCTCGTGTTTTATTGCTATTAAAAAAAGACCAAAGCTGAGAGGAAAGCAGGAGTTGTTTTTTTCGCCCCTCCATCAAAACAGATTTTCTTCTTCAAAATGCACCGTTTCCTTCTGACACCTCACACAGACCTAAATTAAGGCTGTAAGAGGAAATTTGCCTTTGGCTTGTTACAAGTAAAGCTTTTTTGGCTGCTACATGTGTCCATTTTAAAAATGCACAGTTTTTTCCTCTAAAAATCGAGTTGTCTGCAATCAAAATCAATACGAGACAATTAATTTGCCTTCTTTTCTTCAGGATGAGATTGATTTAATGGTGACTGAGGTGTCTGAGAGGCAGCAAATATTAAAAAGCGCCGGTGAGCAGAAAAAACAAAACAAAAAGGAGGAATCAATACTGACTGTGGCAGCACCGTTGACTTGCACCGATTTGCTTGCAGTGGACAGAGTCCCAGGAACTCGCTCCACAGACAGCTGCACCTCCTTCGGCTTCACCTCTGTCACCTTCACCTCCCTGGAATAAAGAAACATGAGCCAACAGCATTAGGGTGGAATAATGAATTTAACATCATTTAGGAGGTCTGCAGTCCTCGAAACGCACATAATGGCTAAAGAAGTGATCAGTGCAACATGAAGAGGCAAACTGATGACTGTAATAAGACGAGATCTAATCAGAAAGCTCCTCCTCACCTTAATGTGGCCAACCTAATATTCAACATTATCTTCTTGTGCAGCTCAGGACTGTTTTCTCACAGACCTAAGTTTAAAGAAACAAAGCCTCGGTAATATCTTAGGAGGACTCATTTTAAACCACTAGGAGTTTGGAAGACGTGCGTGTGTTGTGGTTTACACATTTGCTTAAGAAGCAAGCGTTTGCTCCCAGGAGCAGACACGAAAAGTATTCACTATAAAAATTCTGCCTTATAAAACATCCGGAGCTTCCCGCTGTGGCAACCCTCACCCATTTCAGGGTGAGAGAATGAAGCCTAATGGTGCCACATGACTAAAATGTCCAAAATGACACATTTCATAGCTGTGAGAAACTGTCACAGTGCCATTGCAGGTATGGTGTGTGGCTGCCTTTCCAGTTCTGTAGTTAATACTCCTAATTTCCATTTTCTGTCACGTTTACTTCCTATAATGATCTGAAATAGGCTCACAAGCTTCCTGGAAAACGCTGCGTCTTTACCTGCAATGTCAGGCTGTTCTCGTGGGTGGATGGCACCTTTCCTGTCACATCCTCTCTCTCTCTCTAAATCGTAGGCTATTATGTTACACGCTTTTCTTAACAGATACTAGAACCATTATGATAATTAATGACAGCATTTCAGCGAATGCTGTGTATGTTCGCAGCCTTATCTTCTACCCTACGGCTGTCAGTAAATGGCTTTTTACAGACTCTGCTCTACGTGCTGCAGTCAACAACATCTGAGTGCTTCTTACGTTACTGGGAGGGAGGGAGCGGGACTGTGCGGCGTGCCAGGGGAAGGGGCAGCGTCGAGGCGGGGGTCGTGGTCGGGGTGGTCGGCGAGGGCTGGAAGGTTGTGGCCATCGGGGACGTTGAGGACCGGAGAGGCTCTTTGGGACCCGCTGGAGAGAGAGTGCCTCCACTACTGGATTCAGCACTTACATTCTGCAGCGACATCAAGCAAACAGCAAGCAGCAGAAATGACGTATTACAGCAAGTTCTTTTTATTAGCAGAAGGAGAAGTTCTTTACAGGTGAGCGTATATCAGTGTACAATGAAAAAGCAGGACCAGTAGCTAAAATTGCAGTGTTGGTGGTGCCTTCCTAAAGCCTTCTTTATACTTGTGCTGTTTTTCCATATCATAAAGAAATGCTAGATTAATGCTCCATATCGTGAGCCAACACACTCGAGAATCAGATTATTACTCTCAAGAGTCTCACCTTTATTTTGAGGAAGATTAAAAAAATAATAAAGAGTTTTCCAACATATTTCAAGGTACGTCTGTGAAGGTTCTCAGTCATCCAGGTCATCGTAGTCTAAGGAGCTTGGAAAGAAAAATTGTCTGGACTTCTTTAAGTTGTTTGAAGGCGTTTCACCTCTCATCTGAGAGGCTTCTTCAGTTCTAGGGTCAAAGAGGCGGTGGTTTACGACAACCAACCGTCTGCCATCTATAATCCAGTTTTGAGATCCCTTCCCAGACGCCTTAACGCCCACTCACATCCTGGGCCTTCTGACCTCAGGAAATCACAAGATGGGGTGGGGCTAGGTTTCACAATGAGTTCACCCGAAACCCTGGCTGATTGTGACCCACACCTGTTTTCACACCTTGGCTCATGTGATTGGGTAGAGGGGGAACCACCACAGGGATTAAATCTGAGAATCTCCACCATTTGACCTTAGAACTGAAGAAGCTTCTCGGATGAGAGATGGAACGTCTTCAAGCAACTTAGAAGTCCAGACGCTTTTCTTTCCAAGCTCAGACTATTTAAAGGTATTGTTGCAGTTTGAACAGCCCGTTTTGTTTTTAGGAAGTGCCTGAGTCGAGTCACCATGAAATATCTGCGTGGCAGCCACAATAAGAGCTGGATGAATTCTCTATTCTTTCTAACACTGGGGCACCTTTTATGAAACAATTCAAAATCATGCACCAAAACCATGCTGACCCTTCACAAAAACAAATCACCAACATGGCTGATGTGTGTTGTGTGTGGATTATTGTCATACTTTCATGCTGTGTGCTGAGTGACAGCTTGTCATGGTCACTCCCGATTGTTTTTTCTTTAAGAAAATCGTATTTTTCTTTTGCACGCTCACTGCTCTCCTCACAAAAGTAAAACCGGCAAAATGGCGCTTCCTGGAGCAGGCGCTGTGATTGTACCCATCTTTACCACAAAACCTGCGTCTATTATCATCTTTGCTAACCAAGCACTTTACTGTATTATATTTTGTTTATACTAGAAGATTTAATTTAATATAACAATAAACCTCCAGGGCTTATTGGAGTTTACATTGATTCATACATAATTTAACACACCACTGACAAACCTATAGCTCAGTTTGAGTTTAGCATCAGTTCCTACCCGTTCCTTGGAGTTTCCGACGACTACGCTGCTGGCTAGTCGGTTGTCAAAGACGTCGTCAGTTTTGAGCTGGCCGGCTGCTCCGGGCAGAGGAGGGAAGCTGGAGAGACCGAGCTCGAAGCTTGGAGATGGAGGTTTTGGGGGCGGAGGCGGCGACTGAGGCGTCACTCTCTACACAGAGGCAACAAAGAGTCAGGAAACAAAACAGTCTTCGATTCACTTTCAAGATGTAAGGAATACATAAGTACTAATCTTGGTTTGCTTCCTTTAAACTGAGCATAAACTCACAGAAAAACTGTGGAATTTAAAGTTTGAAAAGAATCAGAATGACGAGGATAAAAATCAGTACTTACTGTAAACTTTTCGTCCCTCTTTTTCCTAGAAGCAGAAACATTTTTCCTTTAAGAAAAAGAACATCTCAATTTACAAACATCCGTTCTATCTAAAAACACCGACTTCACCTTACACAACGTCACCTAGAATTAATTAGTTGAGACTGAAAGATTTTAATAGGTTGGAACCAAAGACTAGTTTCAGTAATTATGCATCTGACAGAACGTGAAACATGGCCACAATCTCCCCTTCTGTTCCTCAGTTGGTGCACAGAATCGTGATGGCACAAGGAGGTTGGCCTCCTGGATATGAAATGTCACCACTTCATCATTTTATCCAGATACATGCAAAACTTTTAGTAGCCGATTAATTTTTGAGGAACAGCCGAAACAGGGCAAAAAATATATAATTCCAGATCCCATTAAACACAGAGACAAGTAAACGTAAAGCTTAAGATGTTGGGCCACCAGATCAGCTTCAAGTCCTCTAAAAGAAACTCGCTCATCTGCTGTTTTAATGGTGAGTCATTCTGGAAGTGATCGCTGGCAGCACGACATAAATGTTTCATCAGAGGATAAAGGTGATCACTCAGAACAGCTTTGGATAAGGTGTGGCCAAAAAGCTCCAAAACATTACCTCACTCAAATTTGGCTGATGCCCTGTTCAGTGTCATCATCTCTTAGTTTGTCCAGACAGCTTCCAATGCGGCTGCTATTCTTAGAAGTCCTGTTGTGCCCACTTACACTCTTTGCTCTGCAATTTAGCCAGACGGCAAATCTTGTCTTTCGTTTTAAAGTGACGCAAAATCTGGATGGAGGTCGATCACTGGTGATGGGAGCTGGGTCTCAGTTTAAAGTTAGTTTGTAAGACTGAACAGAGTGAGTCATGCGAGGAGTGACAGCAGGAGCACGATTCGCCTCGCTTTTAGTTTTTCCACTTTCACAAAAATTTAATCCAGTTGAAGAATCGAGGCTGGCGATTGGTCCGACAGGGCCTCCGCCTGGGCTGCTGCCCAACACAAAGTGCTGCGGACGCTGTACCACAACGAGCCGGTTGAGGTGTATGCGAAGATGATTCTGAATGGGAGGTTGGCCAAATTTAAATCAGGTAAGGTTTTTCATTTTTAGAGCTCAATTTCCAAACATTTTGACCACACTTTGTACTGACTGTTTCCCCTAAGAGGACCAAAACTTCAGGAAATGTGTGGCATCCCATTTCCAAAGACATTGTGTCCAAGAACAAAAGAGAATCACCTGAGCCTGTTAGTTTACTCATGTTTTCACTTTAGGACAACCACATTCAAAGTGTCAGCGTGAACTGTTGAATTCCTCTCATAACACTTTGGAAACCTGCACTATCAGAGGGGAGTGGCAGAGTTATTGCTCTACACAAGTAAATGATCAGTGCCTGACCTTCCTCGGCCGATCCCCAGCGAGTAGTCTGTGGTTGCGGGCTCCGTTACTCGCCCCGTGCCCACAGTGTCCCTACGAGGGAAGGCTGCAGTGGAGGGTAACCTGGTTCTGGGTTGGCTGGTGGGGAGTCGCGTTGGCGGGCTGCTGCGAGCCCCATTGAGCCTCTCGCTGGGAAAGCCGGCAAAGAGGCTCGGGCTGTCCAGTAGCCCAGTGCTGCGATCCGCTGTGGGGATGGTCGGCCTCAGGTGAGGTTTGCTGTGATTCCTGCAGAAAAGGAAAACCTTGTGAGTCCATGTGAGCATTAAAACTTGGGTTTAAAGTGAATAATCGAACCCTGGGCCTACAATAAACTCATTCTGTGAAGGACCCCGCAAGTGACAGGTAAAACCAGATGGTAAGATTTCATTTTTGCGTTTGTGTTGCGTCTTCAGCCTTTGGAGGAGTAAAAAAATCTACAAACTCAGTGAAACTGGAAGTGGATAAATTATTTAGATACAATCATTTCCCATATGCTGATGGTTTATTTACGAAATACAAAAGGAACTGATTTTCTGAGATTTTAGCTGCACAACTAGGGCTGCCACAAACGATTATTTTGATAGTCGACTAGTCACCGATTATTTTTGCGATTAGTCGACTAATCAGATCATCATCCATTGGACGTACAGCGTACAGCTTATTGCACCAGCAGCATCTGCTCTCATAGAACTATCATTAGCTTACAGCTTGAAGTGTTTGTGCTAACTAAAGATAAAGACAAGATGGTGGTTTATTAATTTTTAATGAAATTTGCAGATTGTTTCGGTGAAGTTTAATAAACTCCTTGCTTTCTAAAATATAACAGGACACCGGAGTATATTCTCCAGCGTCTCACACTTCTGATAATCAGCTGTCTGCTTGACAGTTTTAGCTGTGCAAAAACTATAACTTTAATCTCAGCCAAACCGATTTACTCAGGAACAAATAAAATACTAAAGAAAGCCAAACAATGACATTTTTAAGTTATCTAAGTGACTTATATATCATGTTTAACCTGAGTAGCGAAAGACGGCGGTGGGTTTGAAAACGATTTGCCGGGAGTCCGGTGTTCTCACGGCTCTAGTTAGCCTTGCCCCCGCCTAGCTAACGAGCTAGTGGGTAACAGACGTCTCCGAAAACGTCGGAGCGCTTTTGAAAATATGTGGCGTCTTGATAAACTGAGCAGATATTTGAGGTTTACACAGCTACATTCTCGCCTGAAAATATGTTAAACGTTTTTTTTGTGACCCAGAAAGAATAATAAGAGTAATATTAAAACTAACTAGCTGCCACCATTGTTGACAACAGAGCTGGGCTGCGCTATGAATTCTGGGACACAGCTTCTTCTTCTTCGGGGTTTAACGGCAGCTGGCATCCTTGTACATGCAGTGCTGCCATCTTCTGTTTCAGTCCGTTATTACACTCTTAAATCCTACTACTCATTCCTGCGTCCTTTGTGATCTTACAAAGCTTCAAACGATGCGTCGACTATTAAATTAGTCGTCGACGATTTTAATAGTCGACATAATCGTGACTAGTCGACTAATCGTGGCAGCCCTATGCACAACCATCTCTGGGGTTTACAGAGAATGAAAAACAGCACACATCCAGTGAGCAGCAGCTCTATGATCGAAAATGCCTCGTTGATGTCAGAGCAGAGGGGCCAGACTGCTTCAAGCTAACAGGAAGACGACCTGAACTCAAAAAGCCACTCATTACAGCTCAAGTACGCAGAAGAGCATCTCTGATCTCCTCAAGCCTCGAAACAGAAGAGCTAAAGCAGCAGAAGACGACACCTGGTGCCACTCCTGTCAGCTAAAAACAGAAAACTCACGTGGGCTCACCAAAACTGGACAACAGAAAACAACTTCACAGACTTTTACCCCATTAAATTCATATTGTAACAAATCCTTAATTTAAAAAAAACCAACCTCAAAACTTTGATAAGCAGGTAAATAATCATCATATGGTTAATCTGTCAATCACCCCTGGGATTACAAATAAGTAAAAACAAATGTTTTATGTTCTATGTTCGGTTTGTTTAAACACACAGCTGTGTGTCATACACACAACATTAGTGGGTGAACAGCTGATCACACCCTGTGTGAGGGTGATGGAGATGTGCTGGGACGACTGACGAACTTCCAGTGTGTTTACAAGTGGAGAAAGGTGAGATGCTGCCAGTTTACCTGGATTTATTATTCCAACAGCACGTACATTAACTACATTGTTCCACTGAACTATAACAAACCTGTTCCTGGGCGAGTAGTGTCTGACAGTGAGGGGCGACGTCGCTGGTTTGAAACTGTGAGATGTAAATCCGTTGATGAACTGGTTGTTGTGAAATGGAGTAACCTGGAGACAGAAAAACAGTTAAATAAGATGCATTTAAGTAACAAATTATTAAGCTAGTTGTGTGACTTTTGAACTTAATGTTTTCTAATGTAGTTGTTGATATTGTATGTTTATAAAAAGTGTCTTAAAAATGTGAAAGTGGCTCTAAACCTATTAATGCTTCATAGCACCAATTTAAACAGTTTATATTTAATAAAGCAGCCACTACAGAAAGCACAGTGTATTATTCAGACCGAAAAAGTCAATATTAAACACAAGTAACTAAATTTAATCCTGGTGCTGATCTGCTGGTCCTGATTTAATCTTAAATCCAAAAACAATTGTGAATTTACCGTTTTTGATACACAACTGAGCACCTGTTTGACTTCTTCTTTCCCAAATCCAATAAACACACAGTAACTCATTCTTACCAGCGCCGGGTCGATGAAGCTGTGTGTGGCCGACCAGGCCTGCGGCGTGATGAGGCTGTATAACGGGAATTGCTGCTGGGGGCTGTAAACCGGCGGGATGTAGTAGGATGTGTAGCGCTGCTGAGCGTACGGGTTCACCTCCACCGGCCGGTAACCGTTCTTTGGTATGAAAGTGTTGATAGCGATTGCCTTCGCCTTTATCCTCGCCTGGTAGAAAGAGCCCGAACAGAGAGAGAAATTAGCACCAGCGCCCAAAAGAGAGATCGATATTATAACTAACTGCTAATACAGTTGAGGAAAAAATACAAATAAAAAAATACATTTCTCAACCATCTTCACAAAATTTGTTTGTTTCATCGGTTGTTAATAAATATTCATGTGTACCGTGGGCTTAGAGGTATTGATCAACGTTTTTCAGCCAAATCTAAAAAATTGTTTTAGTACAGAGGAATGCAATTTACATTTACACGCTTCATGTGGTCCTTAAATAACAAGCAGACCTCTGAATGAACCCCTTAAGCAAAAACCTGTGATTTGTGAGCTGTCTACAAAAAGTTGGATGTGTGCTTCTCTGCTGATTCATTTTGCATGACAGGGGATAATATTTGACTTTTGAGACCACATTCATGAACAGAAGTGGTTTGAATATAGCTCAAAATGCATAAACTGACAGTGACGAGAGCCTGAAATCACCACCAGCAGGGTGCATCTGGTTCTCGAGCATCTTTTGATTTGCAAATTGTTTTCTTTCCAGCTCAGCCTCAAACCAATAAAATGTGAGCCTACCTTTATTGGCTTCCCTTGGAAGGTCTTTACTTCCTCACGGAGATATTGATATGCCTTTAAAACAAAGGAAACGCAGGACAGCATTAGTGACTTAAAACACACAAAGTTCACTGATAACTTTGATGCTTAAACTCAGATTTAAATACTAGTATAAATTACTAATGAAATCAAAACTGAATGAATGCATGAAATTAACTGTCCACATGTACGGATACCTGCTGTGCATCTGCTTCTGATTCAAAAGTGATGAACCAGTTGTCATTGTAGGCAAATTCACAGTTGATAAACTTGGGTAAGTTGTCCCCCTTAAAAAGAGCCTCGACCTCCTGCAAAACAAGAGAAACTCATTTCATTCCACTGTTTCACTACAGATCTGCTACAACCCCGGTGGCCCAGGCTGGGCAGCAAGACTATGAAAAAATAATAATGAAGATCTATTCAGTTATGTTTCCCAATTACAGATTTAAAAGTGGACATAGCCACCATGTTGCCTTACATGTTTATTTTCAATAGAATCTGCAATCAGAACAGCTGCCCCCTGCTGGTCATAAGACGGCACTTTGTATTGACGTCACGCTTCAGACCTGGAAGCTTCCTCCATCTGTCATTATTGTCTAATGGCAGATTAGATCAGTCTTTGCTATATGTGAATGATTTCATAGGTGGCCTCTTGTTGGCACAGCTTGCACCGTGGGAAATAAACTACACAAGTGCTGTATTAGTTTAACCTGAAGCAGCTTCATTCAAAATTACACCTTGAAGCAGAGAATGTGTCCAATATTAAGGCTATTTTCCATTTTCCAACTGGTTCTTCAAGCAGCCAGATTCACCTTCTGGTTTTGTTTTGTCATTATTATTATTATTGAACTCCACAGAGTACTAGTTTACACATTCTCTTAACAAGCAAAACAAAACCCCCCTTTTTTTTTAGCTGCATCATGAAGTGCATCACAGAGAGCTGCACTACTGGGCGACCCCTTGTTGCTTCTAGAGATGCTTATAATTTTTGGCTGTTTGATGAATTTACTTCATATCTGCCGTAAAGACATCAGGAGACACTACAAGCATGTTTTCCAATTTCTTCTCTCTGTGGGTGCAAAACGCTTTAAAGAAGCCTTCACAAATTCCCGCAGGTTAAACTGGACCAAAGGTACATTATTACATTTAATACTCGTAAGATTTAGACTACAAACAACCCATAATTGAATAAGCTGCAGAAAACCACGTTTCGCTGCTCCTCTCTCTATATTTCACAACTAAATATGATGCTCTGAGCAAAATAACTAGTGTACTTTCCAGTATTAAGGAAATATGGGGAATGATGTGATAGAAAAATATTGTTTATATGAGCAGATCTGTTTGACGTGGACTTTCTGCGGAGCTGAAAATGCACCGCTGTGATAACAGTCATTAGCTCGGAGTCAGCTGAACTGAAAATGTTCTGTCAGGCTGGGGCAGATAAGAGAGTTACTGATATCACACAAGACCTCTGCAAATGTTTTACCGTCACTGCTCGACAGGAAAATGCTTCTCAATAACCTCAAAATGCTCAAAATGTGTGGTTTGTGGTGCTTGCTGGGAAAGGACGGGTCATGACTGGATAAAATCCCGACTTTGCATTTTGGAAAGGTGAGGTGTCTACCTTAAATGTCTACTCTCTGGTCTCCTTTGGAGTCATACCACCTCGTTATCATGGTTTAATTAGCTTAATGTGTAACAGTGACAGCATTCTGCAGACTCCGCTTTAAGCATAACAAAGATTGATTTAAAAAATATCCAAGAACACGACATAAAACACACCAAATCCTAAATAAATCAAGGACACGTGTAGAGTTACCTGTTCAGGCACATATGATAACTAAAAAACTAATTATGGTGACTGAGGCATAAGAATTCACTATATTAAGTTATGCATCCTAACAGAAACATTAAATAATTCAGAGTCTGTCGACTTCATCCATGTTTGAACTTCATTAGCAGAATATTTCCCCTGAATTCAGAAATGAGTAAAATATTAAAGAAGAACTAAATTTAATTAACTAAAAGCAAACATTTATCTACTTGCATTTCTATTTACAATCCCAGTTTAACTACTGGGACTGTAAATAGAAGACCTTCTAAACAAATGTGAACAGACCATAAAGGCAAACTATCAATCAGACACCCAGACCAGACTGGCGTCTACAGTGTACATAAGCTATGCTTGTGTTCTAGGTGTGAGCCATTTCCATGGAATAATAATGCTTCTAGTGTTTGTTGACTCATGACAGTAGCGTCAAAGGACAGACGTGTAATTGGACATCCTGTTTCGGCACTGACCTCTATGGGCGTGCTCTCTGGAACCTCTCTGAGGATCACGATGCAGCGGTTCTGATTGGGTCGCACCTTTTCCCCCTTCTCATCCACCTGGACCAATGGCAAAGCTGCAGGAAGCCATAAAGAAAAGGTGTTATGGGCCATTTCAGGAAGGATCAATCAGTACATCCCACCTAATAAGCCCTTCATAATCAGCTAGTTTATTACGTACAATAACTTTCACAGATCTAATGAAACCTTGCAAAATGTTCACCTTCAAACTATGAAACGTTTCCTGGTTATGTGTCCTGAAGGAACTCACAGGTGGGCTGAAATTCTGTGTGATCTGTCAATCTGTTTCTGAAGATTTTCTTTTTCTTTTCTGTGAACTTAAAGGCTGATATCCACTGTTTTGGCCACTGGTCCAAAACAGTCAGACCACAAATCTACTTTCTGGATGCATTTTGGTGCACGACTCCTCTAACAGACTTCTATTTTAACATGTGCAGATGTGACTAGACTGTGTGTAACAGATATTAAAAGTGCTTTTCAGGCTCTGAATTTCATGTGGGTACCTCCTGTATTCACAAAATTACGAGGACTCAAATATGCTGGAAAAAAATAATGCAAATTAAATACTGACTAATCTTGCAGTTTTACTCTTATTTTCTATGACAGACACTCACACACACACACCAGAGTGTACAACAGTCTCATATTAAATATGAACAAAGTCTAAAATGATGAGGTCAGAGTATTTAACTCCTATGCGCCCAAAGCTCCAGCTATGATCTCATAGCTGGAGCTTTGGGCACAGCAGCCCCATCCACCTGTTTGTGAGGAGCAGCCAATGTAAAATTTCTAATCATGGATGCAGGACCTGAAACTGGCCAAACGGGTGATCTGTAAATTACAAGCAGTTTCATACTTGAACATCTTCAGAAAAAAATATTAATGCAAAAAGCCTAATCGCAGCGTAATTACATGATGGTTTATTTACAGTAACCTGATTAAATTCAAATATAAAACTCTTGGCAGTGTACAGATCAATGAGCCATTAAATAAAAAGGCCTCCAAGCTAGAAAGGATTAATTTAAGCAGTAAACTAAGTACGAGCACAAATCAAACACAAGTAGGTAAGACTCTGCTGGATGCACTTTAACGACCTCTCCTGGGAAATCAACTCCAACCACATGCTGATAGAAATTCACTCTGATAAGGTTTTCTTGACATGCAGCTCGTTCAGGTAAACAAGCACAATGACGAGTTCTGATTGAACTCCAAGAAAAATAACTGGTGCATAAAACTGTGACTTTGAAAGCATGTCGCTCACATCGTAAGATGTCCACAATCAGCTCCACGTCCGTGCTGAGCTTTTTGATGTGGTCCAGGTTGGCCACCGTCACAATTGGCACATATTGGTCACTGTCCATTTGGGAGATGAGGTACATGTCACTGGCCAGATTCTCCCTGCCAAATGGAGACGCAGATAGGAGAGGTTAGTTAGACTTTCATGGTGTAGGTGGCAAAAGGTGCAGCAGTGAAAACAAACTTCATTTTCTCTGATAAACAATTCTGTGATTAGCACCCACAGCTGCTCTTAAATAAGAGCGACTCTTACACGTGTAATAAACATCAGCTTTGCTGAGGGTGACACTGCATCTGAATCGCTGCTCTTCTGGTAACAAGTGCACCTTTTGAAACTCCTTCAGTTTACAGCTGTTGCACATTTGGCTGCTTTGCTTTTGCAACTGTGAGATTTTTCTCAAAAGAATGCACTGTAGGTGTGTATGGTCCAGTATTTTGTAACCCAGCAGTAGTCTTTTGGTTTCTATAGCTTCTTGTTTTCATATCTGATCAGTTTTGGGTTTTTTTTTCTTTTAACTTCCACTGTAGTTTTGGAGAAGCTAACAGTATGCTATTGTTGTTGGCTTGTTCCAAGTTCACAGAGAGGAGAAAATGAAATGAATTTTTCAAGGCCTCAGTTCCTTTCAAATCAGCAGCTAAGCCACCACCACCGCAGAGGCATTCAAAAGTATGAAATAAGGCTTTCATTCAGACTACGCCTGACGCCCACACCCAAAGGGAGAGAGAGAGAGAGAAGAGGCCTGATCGGTATCAAAAACAATACATAGTCTTCCAGTACACTAGCTGCACACACACATTTAATTATTGATGGATTTAATAATTCTTTTAGCGCATGAACAATGATGTTGGAACATATATAATTACCATCACACCTCCCAGTACGACCGAAAATATTAATTTACTCTGACAAAGAGAGAGGGGGAATAAAAAAGCAGAATTCCCATGAACCCTGTACGGACGGACGGACGGACGCACACACACACACAGCAGACAGACGGCTGATTCAGTGTACAAATGCTCCACGAAGGCACCCTGAGACACCACTTTTGGATCTTGTCGGCCGTTTGTTTTGTTTTGTTGCGTCATACAATATGACATTCACACCACTGACCATACTGACTTCACCCACCACTGTTTAAGTCTTCTCTTTTATGGTTATTTTACTTTAATAAGCCTTAATTGGAATGAGTGTGTGGCCCAGTTTGTGACAGTCCGAATGAGCAGTGTTACAACATTCAACCCACAGAGCTTAAGTGTCCCTCCAACAAAAAGGTTGAAACACACAAAATCCACACAATTAGGAGGCAGTGCTACGACCCAGTTGGAGTGGGAGAAAATGTTTTCCTAGAATTAACAGCAGCCCTTGTTAACGCCGTCACTGTAAATGTAATCAAAACCTAAAAGTCATGGTCAAAAAGCTTAAACATCATTGGTCACAGGCTTGTTTTAAACAAGGAAGGTAGAAAGAAAAAAGCCCCATCTTGCTTAATTTTCTAAATTAAGAAGATTTCTTGTAAACTTTGCCTCCGGCTGAAAGCAGCCGTCCCCTCTCTTACTAGCAGAGATGTCCGAGTCTACAGAGGAAGGCGGATTCATTTTTAACCTTTAGCTTTCAGATTACTACTACTAATACCACTAATAAAGAGAACTATAATATGAGATGGGTATTTGGTTAAGATTTGCAGCAGTACAATCCCCCCTCCCATGAGCAAGTATAAATGCACACTGCGCCTGTAGCTGGACACTGCACAAGGCTCATTATGGTTTAAAGCCCCATGTTGTACTTTAAAAGCAATCTCATGGGCAGTCACCGTTGTTCGAGACGATCTTAAATTCTCTAGTAGAACAAATACACACAAATGCAAATAAACAAACCACATATTAAAAGTCTGGATTTTGTCTTGATGCCCAAAACAAAATAAAATTTGGGCCCTGGGAGTAAACCAAGAGAAAACTAATAGCATATGAGAGCAAGCATAGAGCAGAAACATTTTTGTTTATGGTACAGTGGGTTTCAGGTCGTGTTCACACGTGCAGCCAGCCAACAGTCATAGTTGGGGAGTGCACAGATGCAGACCCTTGGGAGCACAGGCAGATGACAACATTTACGTCATGAAGGCTACTGTGGACGCCTGAGGTTTCACTGCCACAGAAAGTATTATTTGAGCCTAATGTGCTGATTATACCAATCAGGAACCACAGGATTCAAGGAGGCAGAATAACACATGAGTGGACTGCACACAGTCATCCACAAGTCATTGTGTTAATCACTTTCAAGTAGATGTTTTTCCTTCCAGATCTTAATCTAAGTGCTTTTCTCCATTAGCAAGTATGAAACAGCTGCTGAGCAATGACTGAAGTAGATGGGCTGAGATTTCAGCACAGTACGCCAGTTTCTCATGGACAGTTCGAGGCTTAGTGAAGGAGATGTCCCTACATTCAAAGAAAAGCATAAAATTCTGGGCTGTACTGTGATATGAAGCTACTGGCTCACCGGGAAAGACAGAACTCCAGGGTCTTCTTCAGGTGCTCCCTCAAGCCCTCCTGGGGGTTGTCAGGCTGGGGATCACTGCCTGTTGATAGAGGATAAAGATTTTGGTAAAATAAGGAGCAACTAAGCTTATGTCTAATCCTCTAAACACTATCCAGACAATGAAATGGGATGTGGGTGGAGAGGGTTGTAAAATATGGAGAAGGAAAAAAAGAAAGAAGAAAAGCACCAAAAGTGTCGTATTTACACACAGCAAATACTCATGCAAGCTAATTTAATGTGTTGGAAGCAATGGCACGGGCGCTAAGAAACCTACTCCTACACGGTTGTATAATCACAGTCATCTTAATACCACCCATTCCTCCCTTAGCCTCGTTGTTTTTGTCAACACTTCTTTCAAGCAGAGGGCACTTAAAAAGATAAATGTCTCGTAGCAGATCGTGTCTGGAACAGGTCAATGACATTTTAATGATGCAATAAATAACACATAAAACAAATACCTCTCAAGCGGTCACTGTTCTCCTTCAAAAATAAATCTACTGCCCGAGGACAGACTGTCCCTTAATATTCGACCACATTAGCCGACTGTGTTTGGTTGTAGTTCATTCTAACCTTGAGTTATCCAAGATCAGGTGAAATCAAACTTATTTAGATCCCCGTGTGATTGACGAGGCCAACACACTTAAAATCCTTAAAAGCCTTCTAATAGCCGTGCCTGTGGTATAAATGTGGACATCGTCAAGTTACTTTGTTTACAAACTTGGGTGTCCACGCCGCCCCATCAAAAATCAGCACAAAAGTATCCATGTGTAGACATGTGGATAAACACCGCTGATACACAACTACTTCAGAGCCTCCTCTGACTAACAACCAATCACTAACCAGCCCACCTGTGTGCCCTGGCTGCCCAGGCTTGGGGTATTCTGTGTAGGCTGACTCGGAGCACTCCAGAGTGACGGCGGCTGGCTCAGCCAGCATTACTGGTACCGGTGGAGGCTCATCTGGGTCGGTTAGAAGGGGCTCCTTGTAAGCCTTGTCTTCACTGGCTTCATAGCCTGTGACAATCAACAATGGGCATTATGATAATGATTAAAGGCATAAGAATATCACCAGATGTTTAAAAGGGGGGCTATGAGCATAATAGTAGTTATTTTTATTTATTTATTTATTTATTTTACATGGTTTGTAGTTCAAATTAGTTTATTGGAATCTTAAACTGGGCCTTGATCCAGCCCCTCAGCTCAACCTCTAAAACCAGCCATTTAAGGACACCCTACCTTTAAACTGTGTTGGTTCTGATTGGCTGCCCCTCCAGCTACAGAAGGTGTGAACAGCAGGTGGGTGGGGGTGATATCATACAGAGTAGATACTCAGTATTTAGATCAGTCTGAGTGTTTGGCTCACACTGTTTACATGACAGATGCTCTCATCATTTGATTTGATTAATATGAACATATATAGCAGAAGATAAGGAAAAGCAAGAAAACAGCTCCAATGTGAATTGAGAGCAGTGTCCTTTTTAAGTTCTAAGTGCCGAATTTCCAACCTTGTCCCAGTTCAGCAACAATACACCTGTGCAATGACAAATGGACATTATTACCAGAGGCAATCTGAAGCATCTGGCCTGGCACATAAACTCAGCCTTTTCCTGATTAAGATGCAAAAACCATCATTCTGAACGCTCTTTTCCTTTTAGAGCACAACAGATCTTATAGAAATACACAATGATAATGTGAGCAACTTAAATAATGAATAATTATGAATCATTAAAGGCTGGGCAAAAAACTAATGTAATTCCAAAATAAAACCTTTTCTACAGCACTAATTACATCTAAACAAAACAAGTATTGCCTTTAAAACAAATGATCCATCTTAACATAAATGTAAATATTGCACTACTGGTAATATTGTACTAATAACAGTGCTAACAAGTGTTTTTTTTGGTCCATTATGCAATGATAAATACATTTACTGGAAATGTTTCTCAAATAAACTGTACCAAGAAAGAAACTGTATATTTTGTGCTACAGACAAACACCATTTCTGGCTGTAGCGTAGCAATAAGCCTAGCAATAAATCCTGAGAATTAGTGCTGTGGATTTCATTTACACTGAATTAAAAACAAAGTGGGTATGAAGGCAATGTCGAGTCAACAGCAAATTAAAATGAAAACAGATCACAAAGGAGAGATGTGCCAGAACAGAATGAAACATGATAATATACTAAAACCAGAGAAAAATTACATTCAGGTAATTAAGCACATAACCATTTATTAAAACAGTATTGGGACAAATTTTAATACTGGGTTAAACAGTGTGGGACTAGTAATGCCATCGTATTCAAGAGCATTTTCCTCTTAATTTGTGTTTGAGGGTTTTAAGCAACCTCCATCAAATCACAGTGCCGGCAATTTTCCTTAAGGTCTGGCTAAACTCTCTTCAGGGTGCTCTATGGAAATACTCTGCACATGACTGAACGGTACAGTGACTTAAACTGAAAACAGTTCATCTACTCAGAGCCGTGTCCCCCGTGGGAAATGGTTCGTTTTATCTTTTAGATTCGTTTCAAACACAAAAGACTTGGCAGGAGCATAACAGCGACCATAACAGCACAGCACAAAGGCCACTTCACAGATAAAAATAAAAAAGTAAATCTTTTAAGAGAGTGAACTCTCTGATTGGAAGTAATCCGTGGGAGGTTCAGTAAACGTTGCATCCTTTGAACTTGGTGGCTGTACTGGTGAGGCACAACTTTTACTTTAAAGGGAAACGTTTCCAATTACTTTCCACTTTTCAAGTTTCAGTAAAGCTTGGTGAGGAAAATCTAAGTATTTCCAGACAAGTTTGTGTTTTCCATGGAAACTACAGGTGATTTCAGCAACCTGCTGGCAACCAAAACAATCACAAGGTGGTTTTGCAACAGCATTTATTACCATTTTTAAATGGTCAATCTCCAGCAACCACTCGCTAACTGGTTGAGGATCACATTCTCTAGTGGCCGGAAGCTGTGATGAGGTCACTAAACAGTCTCTAGGCCTGTGGGACGTCTGTTCAAATCCTCAGACCTGCTTACTCTTTCAAACTTCAGCACAAAGCACACCGCAAAAGTGAAAATAAACACAGATGTGGCTAACTAGAAGCGACAAGTGATCGAGTCCTCCAGACAAGGGTCTTGTGAAGGAGCCTACGAGTCCACATGCCTTTGCTAAATACGTTCACACGCTGCTTCTGTGAGTGTCATCTGTCTTAATTTAGCACATCACTCCCAGCAGTCTCAGAAACCATGCTGTTATTTATTAATAAAATATGAACGATTATAATGGGGAAAGCACCGTTTCATCGTCTAGGCAACGAATGACACCCACCCCAAATTTGAATATTTGAAAATCTTGACCTTTACTTTTGAAGTCACGTCCACATCAGGCAAGTGTGAAACATAATGGTGAATACTCAAACATCAGAAAAACTGCTAACCCATGAGTGTCAAACATTGGGCCTGTGGGACAGAATGGGAACCCCTAACTAAACCATTACTGCTGATACGTAGCACATACGTTTTTAATTTTTAACTACATTTTCATTTTTTCCATTTTACGGCCTTCTAAGTGAGAAAGGCATCGCCTACAGTCTGAAACGCAGCACCAAGGTCAGTAAGTAAAAGATGAACCATTAAATAAAATAAGTTCCTGTTTTTCATCATCTGCCATATAACTTTCAGGTTGTTTTTTGTTTTGTTTAAACAATGGGTCCACAGTAAATGAAGGACCCAAGTTTGAAGTCAATATGAAAGTAAAAGGAAAAACAGGTGACAGGAGGGCTGTTGAATGATAATAAGTGGCTTAAATTCATAACCTTTAATAGTCCGTCTTTGTTTGTCGACAAAGGAATCAGAATAAGCTTCCATGTGCATGTAATGGTTTAGCATACTGACAGTGAATGGGGACATTAGAGGAACCAGCCAGTATCATGACTAAATCACTGTTACCACTGCAGGCGTGGTGTGAATTTTCCGTCACAGACCACTACATGCATGGCCCAACTGCATTAAATCAGCAGTGCTCTGTAATAAATTTTCCATAAATGTCTTTGCGGACGTGGAAGATGAAGTAGGCCAGGACGTCAGTGCGCGTCAAACTGAGACTAATCAATAATTTCTGTTTCACCACCATGTCCTTGTTGCCTCTGTGGCTAAACTTGGCTCAGCACATTGAAGCGAGTGATTACTGTCATTTACAAAGAAAGACGGGTGACTGGAGCTGGAATATTCATAACTCATTCTAGATTGAGTATGAATGATTAAAGGGGTGTCTCCTGTGTGGTGGGAAAAGGGAACCAGAGTGGACAAAGCAGGTTTTTACACCAGACTGTGCCGTTTGTCACTACTCGATTATTACAGACTTAGCAAGCAGACTACATGCCAACATTTCACTTTCTTTTCTACACCTCAGCTTCAGATTAGCTGTATACTATTTTCAGTTTCTCCGCATTACATTAATAAATTAGCTGCTGGCTATGTTCACCTGCTTCACGCTGCCACAACCACCAAAACCTATAATTCTCCACTTTTTCAGGTCCAGTATTTACCTGCAACAATTTAAAGGTGCTTTTTGTAAAGACCCTCTGAAAATTGAAAACTTTCACCACATGGTGGCAGCGTTTTACCAGAAGGTTTTCATGCAGCTGATCAGCCCAACGTGCATTAAACGGACTACTTCTCATTAATGTAAATTTGTAAAAACTATTAGTTACCCAAGTCAGCACAAGTCAGCAAAATACAACAGTAATATATGAATGCTGAGCGAACACTAGCTTGAATTATGTTGGTGTCTTGCAACACAATTTCATCTCTGTTACAGCCCAGAAGAATGGTGCTAGAGGCAGCGCAGAATCATTTTGTATTTAACGGCTACGTTCTCTGGAACAATTTTGTGCACTTTGGTTGTTTTTTTTTAATATTTAAGATTAAGATTTAAGATTCTGGGTGTCAAACATGCAGCCTGCGGTTAATACCTCACCCACCAATGACTGCCTAAGTCTAATCATCCCATTTTTTTTTTCAATGAAATACTAGCACTATTACTACGTTGTCTATGTCCAATCGTGAGAAATTACAAACCTGCACCTGAACTCCACACTAGCTAAAGAAAATGCTAAAGAAGGGCTCTGCTTGGGCTCAAACCGCCAACATCTCACTGTGCTGCCACACGTAAATATTTTCACAATGTACTTCTGTCTGTTTAGGGACGTGTTCAACATTATTTTGCAATTATGTTGAACATGCAATAGTTTTACAGGTTAGCCTAGCTTGAAATAACACTGGGTTTGAAAGAGGACCATAATCTATAACAAGTCTGACACCCCCTGTCTTATATGGTGCCTAACATATTAGGAGTTTACCTGCATATAAAAAGGGTTTGGGCCTTCTGCTAAAGGCGTGTTTAAAAAGTGGAGTTAGATTAATTAGATTTTGGTTTATTAAATCACTAGTAATGTCACAAAAATGCACAGACTTCTATTAAGTCAGGTAACACAGTCTCTTTGCCTTAGCCATGCATTTACCAAACATGGTTATATGCACAATAAGCCACAAAGACCATTTATAGGCAGAAAAATTCCTGTTAATGCTGAATAATGATTCAATGCTATACTGATAAACCGTTTTAGAAAACAGGAAACGTTTTATGTTCTTATCTATGCTCTGTATTGCGTTATTTCGATATATCTGAAATGGAGAGCAGTTATACTTTGTTTTGCACTATAGTGGCCAAAAGTCAGATTCTAAGTATATAAGAAGCCAGTTTTTGTGCATCAATGACCTTCTGGGCCGGGATCGGCCGAACTATCGCAGCCTTCCTTCCATGGCTGCAGGGCAGCAGTTGTGGTGTCGGCAGTCCCGCTGGGGTCCAGGCTAAACATGTGGTTGGCCCATGCTTTCGCATTGGGGTTGAGGTCCGAAACCTTGGCAGATTCCTGCAAAACAACAGAGCCCGATTAGAGAAATCAACTTCAGCTTATGTATGTCACCACATCAGTATATGTAGTTACTAAAAAAAGATCAGAAATGACATTAACTTCTTGGGCATCAACTTTGACTATAAATCATACGACTGTAATCGATGAATTGTCTTTTACTAGTAAATATACACCTCACAGGTTCTGAAAGTATATTTAAAACCATGCTAACAGACTTATGTGGCCTATGTTTCATCCGTGCAATTTAAAGAACACCAACAAAGCAGTGTTTCCTATACAGATTTTATGTAGTCCAACCAGCCACATATGCTAATGTTTGCCTTGTTCACTCATCTGAATGAAAAACATAAACCACTATCCTCTCACTCTTATTCTTAAAGTTTGGTCTTGCTTTTCCCCACTCTCTGGTTCGCTGGCCACATTCCTGCTGTGGCGGCCTGTGAGACATTTTCTCCGTCTCTCAAACAAACTATTGCGTTGGACTGAAGCTGGCTACGACAGTCCGTAGTCCACTTTGCAGATCCTCTCTGAGCTAGAAGGCCACTCTAATCAGAAGAGCAGCAGGTGGAAAACTGCTTCATGCACCATATTGTTGAGTTCACCGTGTTTGCGCAGCAGAGTTAGAACAACAGCACCAGCAAAGACGAGTGGAAGTGAAGTCCACCCAGGTGATCACAGACTCTGATCTGATTATATTCCTTCAGTATTTGTCACAGAGTAAATTAAATATTTGAAGCAAGCATGGTTGTGCCTGTGTAAGTGCAAATGAGCTAACATCAAAGACCGAATCTGTAGGAAACGCTGCAACTGCTACAAATCAATCACAAGAGCCAAGCTGACATCAACCCACCCAGGTCACAGGGAAGGGAAAAAAAATAAAAAATTTCAACAAGATGGTGTCTAAGGAAATCATCAGGGTTTGCCTTCTACCCAATTAAAATCCATCATGAGTGACCCACATTATGGGGTCTCATTTTGTCAGTGACACGAGCTAATATAACAGTGCTAAAGAGAGAGAAGTGCACAAAGACTGTAGAAGCCGATTTTCCCCACATGTATTGCTTTTTAAGGTAGTTTTAAATAGGTTGCTTATTTATATTCATAAGCACAATGAACTGTACATTTCAAAATATGCCAATAAAACACTGTGGATGTGCCAGACATATTATAGCAAACAGTAATTTGGTTAAAAAAAAAAAAAGTCTTCACAAAATCTTTCATGTCTCAACTCACATTACAGTTTGTGAGAATACCAATACTGCAAAGCCTTCTACAACAATTTTCCCTTTGCTTACTCTAAAGAAAAATACAGGGAAAGTATAAAATAAGACATTTAAATGACAGATTCACTTGCCCAGAAAAGAAGTTTCTATTTCCGGGATTTCTCCTGGCTCAAAATTGGCCTTTCGGCTGGGTGACTGTGCATGTAAGCACGACTTACTCAAGTCTAAGCATTTTCCTGGTCAAAATGTGCTTTACGATCAACTAATTTAAACCCCGCATTTAAAAAAAAAGAAAAGAACCCCTCGTTTCACTGTAATGTTTCTGTAATGCCTTCTCGACTCTTCGAAATGGTCTACGCTGAGAATCAGAAAGGCAAGCATTCATCAGTCATGTTGTACATAAGTCTCAATCGACAACAAGACTCCTCAAACTAAAAATCGTTTTGACAGGAACCAGGCTAATAAACCCCTGGTGTCTGCTGGAAATACTCACAGGATCAAGGCAGCAGTTCAGCATGCATGTCTCACAGGCTAAGAGGCTATAACCCAGAGCGGTGGTCAGAGTCAGCGTTTCACTCAACTCCTGAGGAACAGCAGGCCAGACGCTGCCTGCCGCTGGTGGTATTAGAGTCCACTGCATCCAATCCATGGCTAATACATAAAGATAAGGTCTAAGTATGTCCACCGGTGGGCAGAGGAAGGAAGTCTTCCGACCGACATTGGCTTGCCTCAGGCTCTAACCTGCGAACGTCTGAGCAAAGCGGCTGCCACCACCCCTCTCCAAGTCATCCTCGTCAAATCACAGCTACCGCCACGCTCTGCCTGCCCTCCTCCGATACAGGCTGCTGGGTTGATTCAACAAATCTGATGACAGCACTGAGGCTCGGCTGCCCCGGTGGGCCAGGGCTGACGTTGCAGAAGCTGACTGGCTGTCTCGCTCCCGTTAAGCACCCGTCTCTGCTTTTGTTTTGTCGCCGTTGCACTGAGTCATTCCCCAGGAAAAAAAAACAAAACGCTGGAGCTGTGCAGGCAGCGTTGAGTCGCACACCTGCGCTCAAATGAAATGCCTGCTCCGGTCTGCCACATGTTAAATCAACCCTGAGGCATCACTCAAATTCAGACCTCCAGAGCCTTGGCTTTAATATATTATTCTGCTAACAAGCTAAGTTGCAAAATAAAGGGCTGGGCAAACTGGTTTCTTTTTGAACATAGTAAAGGGAGGAGGAAGAGAAACAAAAACACAACAAGATTAAGAAGTGAGCAGCACGAGATGTTGTTCCTCAGTCGTATTTCACAAACATGGCACTACGAGATCATTCACGATGTGCCTGGCCAGACAGAGACAAATCCCCGCCTATGCTAATAATCCATCCTTCCTCCAATGTAAAACTCCCACTCCTGTCCGAGCGGCTGCCATAGAAACTGCTGCTGACATCAATGGACGTGTACGTCCAGGGCATCGCTTGACCTTTCAAAATTTTAAAATGTTCCCCTCTCTCACAGAGGAAGGAAAGGTTAGCAGCCTTTCTGATTGAGGGTGTATTTTTGGAGGAAACAGGAGAATGTGATTCATCACGAACCGTGGACAGAGATGAGTTATAGTCAGTGTCATTGGAGGGCAGCCGACGTAGCACCGGGTTTATTGCTCTCCCTCCTTGATGGAGGTGGGCTCCCAGCAGGCAGGCAGACAGAGAGACAGAGCAGACAAACCAGAGTCCTTAGGGAGGGAAAACAAAAACAGCTGAATTTGGACTAATCTGTCTGTCTGCAGACCGGAGGCTCCTCTTTCCTCTCTGACAGACAGATCTGGGGAGACCAGATGGGCCAGATGAGCACATCACAAATACTACAACATGCATCATCCTTAACAGCATTTTCTACAATATTAGACTAATTTAGCAACTACAGATTAGTTGTTTTCCCCCCAGGTCATTATTTAGACAAATTTGAACAGTTTAACCTTTTTTTATTTTTCTTTGAAACCATCGGTCTGGCAGCAGGACCATTTTACAAGCCTTCTAAACTCCTTTACCACTTGTTCTAAAGGCAAAATGTAAACAGTATGGGAAAGACGAGAAGATGCCCTTTACAGGGATATTCTGTGTATCATGGTAGCACAAAGCATTCATAAGGTACTGTGTGAACACCAGACGGGGGAACCTAGATTTTACAGTGTGTGCTTTTTATTCAAATGGTTCCAGAAAGATGACTGCAGTCGACCTCCATCTATACGCAGTTCAGTATTCGCAGATTTTTCTGTGGAAAGTAACTCCAAATTATTTGGGGAAAATTCGCCTATTCACAGATTTTTGGATTTGACACGCTATTGGCTGGTGTTTGCAAAGCAGCCAATATAGGAGTGCCATTCATTTTCCTTCATGTTGAACAGAGTACCGCCCAGTACATCAAGGAGGAGGAGGTGAAGATAAGGAAGACTGTGGATGTTAGCTTCTGTGGTAGTGCCAAGAAGTTTTCCACGTCTCAATTATTTGCAGTTCTCAGTTCTTTGCAGGCGGTTGTGGTTCCTAACCCCTGCGAATACCAGGGTCAACTGCATTTTGTAGTTTTACAGTCAAAATTACAAAATAAGTCCACGTGGGCTGCTTGATACTGGCTTAAACTTAACTGATGCTATGTTTATTCTTAGACTAGAGGAGCTTTGTATGATCCCTAACAGTTTATTTGTATCGTCACTACACTTTACTGTAACATCATCTGATATTTGCTGTGCCGTTTTTATAAAGATACCTTATTTTGTTTATTTAGCTTTCTTGATTTTTAGATATTTTACCTTAATTATGCTAATATTTTTTTTTTAAATTTAAATCTATGCTTAATAACTAAACATATATTTTACCTTCTACTGTGCTTGGTTCGAGTGTTGGGGGTTGCTGAGGTAACTTTTAACCAGAAGTCAGCAAACTGTGGCTCAGTTAGAATTAAAACATTTCTTTAGAAGAAATGGCAATTGTGCTTATTACAGCAAGTTTCTGAACTTCTCATCTAATGCAAGCTTATTCTTTGCCTTTAAGTTCTATTTATTCTATTTATTTAAGTTTAAGTTCTCTCAGAAACGAGCCATTTAGCTCTTCTCACTTTAACGCTGCAACCTTCTTCCAGAGGAAAACAAAACTAACAGCATTATATTATTAGTCACATTTGTATAAGAACCGTGGTTCTTTAAGACGATAACTCAAAGGCAAGCCAAGTCGTAAAAGACTGATCTAAGAGATTTGTTGACGAGGCTGGACAGTGGTGAGAAAAGCAGTGGTGTGGTGTCTGTGTATTGGTGGCATTTCCCTGCTTTGGCAACAGATTTAAGAATGAGGATCTGAAATCTTTTGATATGGCTACCCAGTTGCTAAACTACATTTACACTTTTTGAGTACATCCCCTTCGGTTTCCAAAGCTGGATAACTCCTTAAAAACTAGTCTGCATTTCTGTCCCCACAGTTTTGATTACATCTGCATTCATACACAGAGCATTTTCATACCTGCATATGCAGTGAAACTGCAGCTTCTCTCTGCCGTATGACCCACTAAAAAAAATAAAAAAAAATAAAAAAAATTTGTGAAGATTCCCGTCAGGCTCACTTTCTTTCCAGCTTGTGTCCATAATTGATTTGATTTAACATGCACAGCTAAAAATGGGTCACGCTCAATTTCTGGTCTGTTTCTGACACATATGTGCAAAGCATATGGTGTATCACTCCGTCTCTGTGTGAACGCATGCGTGTGAATAAGGAACAACACAATTCTGGTAGCACCAAATGG